TAGGGACAAACCCAGCAATTGGGTTGTTTTGACCCAGCGGTTGGGTTACTACCCAGAAGGTTGGGTTAAACATTTAACCCAACCGCTGGGTCAAAACAGCCCAATTGCTGGGTTTGTCCCTATTTTACCCAGCACTGGCTTGAATTTAACCCAGCATTTTTTAGAGTGTACCGTGCTGTACCATGCAGTGGAAAAGCGCCATAAGAGAGAGTTAAAGAACCTTTAAAGAACTATACAGGGGCTTACAGGTTTTACGGTAGTGGTGCTATATAGCACCTCATCAACTCCAAAGAACCGCTGAAGAACCATAAAGGGGCTTAACAGGTTCTTTATACAGTAGTGGTGCTATATAAACTTCTGTTTTAGATACTCCAGAAATAAAGTCTAACTGGTTAGTAATGTGTGAAGTTGGTGTTGCTGTTTGTGGAGAGGTCCTTTTTTTCTGAGGTCAAAGGTCTCATGTGGGGGCCCTGGAATATTTCCTTATGGGGGCCTTGGGGGCAAAAAAAAATGTATATCTTCAAGAAATAGACTGTATTTTAATGTTGTTTTAACCCTTTCCCCAACTAAACTAAGAGACTAATGGCGCTTTTCCACTGCGTGGCACGGCTCGGCTCTGTTTGCGTTTCCACTGCAGTTCAGTACCGCTTTAGAGTGGACGGGATTATTCACATGTTATAGTTGCGCCGCCTCTATTGCCACGACTCCTGAAAAAACTTTTTCATTCCGCGTCGCTCCATCAAGCTTTCGCTGGATCCGCTCCTCTGCTATCAGCGATACGGTAGTGGTGCTATATAGCACCTCATCGACTCCAAAGAACCGCTGAAGAACCATAAAGGGGCTTAACAGGTTCTTTATACAGTAGTGGTGCTATATAGCACCTTAACCACTCCAAAGAACCGCTGAAGAACCCTTTTTTTTTTTTTAGAGTGTACCATGGTGCCGTTTAGAGATTAAATTGCAAGCTATTAATTATTTTATTTTATCTTATATTCATTTCCTCTTTAAGGATGTGGCACATAATTGTATTATTATTATTTTTATTTAATTTGTATTTATTTTTCATTGTAATATGTGAACAGCCTTTTTTTGTTTGTTTGTTTTGGTAGAATAATATAGGTTTTTGTCATCGTATAATAATAATAATATATAATGAACTGGTAGATTCCTTGGAGTTTGCCAAAAGTGGTAACACTGAAATGTCAGAAATGTAAATGCTTACAGCAGCTCAAGTGAACAAAATGTCAACAGAGTGAAACAGATTTCTAAAATGAAAAACTGCTGGCTGAACACTGACATGGTAATGAAGCACAGATCTGCGCTGTTTCCAGTCAATTCCTGCCATTTGGCCTTCATTAGACTCAGCTTCTGGGTTTGTTTTCGTCATGTGTTTTGTGTTGCTGGAGCAGGTGGTCCGTGTTTATCATGGAGCGAATGTTTCACTGAAGACTGTGGAAGAACATAATCTCTTTCATTTAGTGCCTTATTGCCTGAAGAAGCTCAGTTGGATTTGTCGTCAACAGCCTACTTCCAGATTTTAGTTTTCGGTGTATTTGCCTGTGCAAAACTCACTGCAATGATTTCAGGGTGTTTTGGGTGGTTGTTAGCAGGTTTCTAGAGTGTTCTTGGTGGTTTCTGTGGCTTTACCCCTACCCAAGTCCATAAGATATTCAGTTTCCTACTGTAGATGTGACTCCGGTCCTTCCTTCTCTCTAAATGCATGGAGTTGCGTTTCAAGGTTTAATATTTATATATCAGCAACATCCTCAGCTCCTTAGCAAACGCCAATATTAATTATGGCCAGGTCTCCTGCCGTAGGGTACGTTTGCTGAGCGATGACCTCTGTTACTCGCACCGGTCAGCCGGGCCTTTCGTTCTCTCCTGCTTTAAATCGTTCTGGGTTAAACTGTTGGTAAAAGAAGAGCAAAAAGTGAGAAGTTTTGTTTCCTTTGAAATGATGTAATGCATAAACGTCTCACACCAGCAGAGCAGCAAGTGAAGACGCAGAGATGTTTTTGATGTGCGAAATAATTTGCATAACACATCCTGTATCTGCTAATGTCTGTTTCACCAGTTTGCCTAGATTTCACACACAAATTCTGGATTTAAGAAACCGTATTTATTTAGAGGAATTTCATGACAATAATTTCACAATGCAAATAACAAAATTATATTATATTATATTTTAGAAATATAATTATTAGTTATTTAATAATGATATATTACATATTAAAAGCATGTTTAGACAGAGTCATGAAAATAATCTCTCAAAATATATTATTTATTAATAAAAGTTAAATACAATTTATTAATTTGGAATCTATTAGTTAGGAATTTATTAATTATATTTAACTATATTTATACAACATTGCATATTAAAAAACACATTTAGAGGGAATCTCATGCACACACACACATATATATATATGTGTGTGTGTGTGTGTGTGTTATATATATATATATATATATAAGTGTATGTATATATATTCATTATAAATACAATAATTATTATTTATTTATAAATTATGTTTTACTATATTGACTATTTGACTATATATTTATACAATATTACATATTTTAAAAATACAGTAGTAATAATATTTAATAATATATTTATAATAATACCATTTATATTATATAAAACCTGTAGTAACTGAGTGTTTTGTCATGCTAAGATTGGTAGAGTAAAATAATCATTTTCACAGTGATGCACAATAATAGCCTACAGTTAATAAATGTTTATGTTGTACATTTTTCATAAATTCTTTTTAAATGTTTTTTTTTTAATAATGTTAATTTAATTTTTTACAGTGGTTACTACTGTCTTACTACAAGTAACATTTTCATGTTTACTATAAATGAACTATGTTAGCATAAGTAAGCTAAATATCAAGCTTTAGTAAGTTATCGTGCTGGATGAGGGAAGGTTTTGTATTAATATATTAATTCATAATTATTCTTTTATTTATTCATTCTATTTAACTATATATTTATACAGTGTTGCAGATATTACCATTATTATATTGTTTTCTGTTAATTTAAGAAAATATTATTAATAATCATAATAATCATAATACTTTTTTATATTATATTTTTTATGTATGTTTCGGGATTAAATTTGTCCAGGATTTTATCCACGATATTCACTCCAGTATATTATGATAATCGCTCATGTTTTGTGTCTCTTTCTCCGTCTGCAGGTCCACAGTGTCACTGTTTCCATTTTTTGCTCCACTTTGTGTCCTCCCTCACATCACACCTGGCTGAGATCTCCCAGTCCGACCTCGTCCCGCCATGGCGCTCTCCTCACGCTTAAAACTCTGGGAACAGAAGGGAGGTGCAGGACGGCTGCATGCATGGAGTTCAGCTCAACTAACCCGACTGCTGCTTAACTCCGTTTATTAACCAGCACCAGTTCAACAATAATCACTGTCCTTTTGGAGATGCTTGTAGTCCAGCCTCAGTCTCACACAGACCACACACTGACATGAACTTGAATATGAAAGTCAAAAGACTGCCTATGTCTCTATGTTTGTGTAAAGTAATTCAGTTCACATGGTCAGTGCCGTCCGGCAGCTATTTTCAGTCTAGGTATTAAACATAAAAAGTACAGCTTCTGTGATAGAGGAAAGACTGAAATCTGTGCTTGTCAATATTATATTTTAACTACATTGTCAAATCTAATAGCATCATGAATGGTATCACAATATCACATAGTATCACAAAAGTATCATAAATGTTGCTTATTTACCTTAACTCACATTAAAAACTTTATACATTGTAAAAAAAAATATACATATACATTTTTTATATAAAATATTTTGTTTTAGACCTTCAAATGACAAAATATATTGGAATATATATATATATAAAAAGTACTTAGTGGAAATAACAAACATATATAATATTTATTAAAACCTTTCACCAAATGTCTCCAACACTAAATTCATTAATATTTCATATCACAATTTTAAGCAGGCTTTAATTCTCACAGGGTGACCCATGTTGCTGCTCAGTGGCTCTCTATGGTGGTCCACTTTAGGATGACAGGAGTCTTAGCATGGGTGACGTTACTCTGTAAATTAAGGGTTTTAACTCCACTTGAATCTGTCATTAGGTCTTTATTATTCTAAACTAACTCTAATAAATTACTTTTCCAATTGTTCTCAACTGCCATGTGCACTTAACTATACAGCAGCATACTAGCTTCACAGGCAGTTTAAGCTAGCTGGTATTGCAGACTGAATGCTCTCCGCTGGCTAGCGCTCATGAAGTGCAGTTATTGTAGACTGTATCTAGTGTTTCAGCTCTGCTGGCCTGCTGAAGGACATCTACTGCCCTCAGCTCACATGTGTTTAATATCACTGCTTGTGCTGCTAATAGAGCGGCAAGGGCATCAGTGGAAACTTTCAGTGCGTATATAGGACGCTTACTAAAATTATCGTGTCTTTAGTTTTCACCCTCATGAAAATTAACCATGGTTTTACTATGGTACAACTACCTGTAGTAGCCTACAGTATTTTGGTAGAAGATTCATGATAAATAGTCATGCTTACTGGGAAAGTAAGAGAATAATTTGACAATAATTTGTAGTAGCCTGCATTTGCTATACGTTTAAGCTATACATTTTTATGCCAAATAGGTTTGCTTGTGGTCACTATGGTTGTACTACAAATACCTTTTTTATGTGTACTGTGCATGAACCATGGTAAATTGGAAATGATGGATGTATATAGCTTCTTAGCATACACAAGCGAACAAATTATGTGACCCTGGAGCACAAAACCAGTCTTAAGTCACTGGGGTATATTTTTAGCAATAGCCAAAAATATATTGTATGGGTCAAAATGATTGATTTTTCTTTTATGCCAAAATCATTAGGATATTAAGTAAAGATTATGTTCCATGAAGATATTTTGTAAATTTCTTACCATAAATATATTAAAACTTAATTTTTGCTTAGTAATATGCATTGCTAAGAACTTCATTTGGACAACTTTAAAGATGATTTTCTCAATATTTAGATTTTTTTGCACCCTCAGATTCCAGATTTTCAAATAGTTGTATCTCGGCCAAATATTCAAACCATACATCAATGGAAAGCTCATTTATTCGGATTTCAGATGATGTACAAATCTCAATTTTGAAAAATTGACCCTTATGACTGGTTTTGTGCTCCAGGGTCACATATCAGGCTTTAGTAAGTTATCGTGCTGGACGAGAGAAGTTATTATTTTCCAAAATAAAAATGGTTTTGTATTGGCATGTTTGTTTGCGCATGTTTCTTAATATCCCTAAAACATGATGCATTTACTTATGAAAACTATTATTGTTGTTGTTATATTTTTATACTATATTTTTATATTTCTCATTTTGCATAAACCTCATTAAATTGAGTTTTATTTTTACTAGAAAACAAGACAAGATATTAAAAAATATTTGTCTTTTTTTTATTACATTTTTTTTGTTTTCCAGAAAAAAAACATCTTAAAACAATATGCATAAAAGCTCTTTCTGATTCTGATTCTGAAAAACCTTCAAATGTCAAAATATATAAGAAAATGTACTTCAAGGAGCAAGAAAATGCATGCATTTCCACTCTTAAAATACAGGTTGGGTTAATTCAAGTGATTATGTATACAAATATATATCTACTTCCGTACCCACTGTATATATATATATATATACACACACACATACAAATACATTACTGTGTATTAATATATATAAATATAAAGTTATCAAAGATAAATTTATAAGTATATCTTAATATTTATTTTAGCTATTTATTTTTAAATACTTTTAAATATTGAAATGAAAATGGTTTTTTTTTTGTACATGCATCAGTTTTATTTTTGTAATTTTTTTTTTTTTTTTTTTTTTTTTTTCAATTTGTTTTCCATATAAAAATAAACCATTCTTAAAACAATCTTATGTAAAATGTTATGGCAAAATAATAAGAAAATGCAAGTTTGCAGTGGGAATGTTGTTACCTTCTAAGCAGTTTTCCTGTGATTGCGTCAGTTAGATGGACAGTTTGTTTGTTTGTATGGAGTTCATGACTGGAGCTCCTGTATTCCTCATCCGTGAGCAGATCAAGGAGGAGAAGAAGTCTCCCGTCACTGCCGCACAGCCTCCTCCTCCTCCTCCTCCTCCTCTCTCTGCCGTCCCGGGAGGATTCCTCAAACAGCTGGTGAGAGAGACCGAGAAAGAGACACACCACAAAGAGCCAGAACTCAAAGAGGAAAAGACGGTGAGATCTCACTTCACTGGGTGGGATTCTGCGGGGAAAAGTTTTAGCAGGTCAAGTGGGTTATTTAACACTGAAGCGGATGGTTCCAAGGTGGTCCATCAGTTCCAACCAACTTGACCAAGATGATTTACCAGGGGGCAGACGAAATATTCTTCAGAATAACATTTTTCATAACAACTGTCTCACTTAAGAATAGATTTAAGAATATTTTGTATTCCCCAAAACATTTCTTCAGCATGCTCTAAAGACAAAAGTTAAGAATAATTTGAATTCCTGAAAAGAATGTTCTTAGAATGTGTGAATTGCTGAAAAGCTTGGTTCCCATAAATAACCACTTTAAAGTTTGGATAACATCCAACTTAAATCCCACAAGATAAGATGTTTAATGCATGTATTGGTTTAAATTAAATAAGGAAATGTGTGATTGTGAAAAAAAATAAGATGTTCTTAAGACGATATTTGCAAACCTTAGAAAGAGTTGCACTTACGAGCATTCTTAATTCTCAAACTTCTTAGAATTCATCTTAAGAAATGTCTTAACTTAAAAACAATAAGATGTTTCAAGAAAATATTTCCAAACTTAAGGTTTTTTCGAGAATTGCTCTTGGTAACATTCTTACAAACTTCTTTAAGAAAAGCTATAAAGATGCTCTTAAGAAAATATTGCTATACAAACTTTATCTTAAGAAATCTCTCAAACTTAATCTTAAGAACTGAAAATAAGATGTTCAAAAACGAGAATTACAAGTAGAAACATTCTAACGAACGTAGAATATTTGCACATTTTTCAAGAATTACACTTAGGAATTTTTAGAATTCATCAAGAACTTAAACATTTTTCAAGAACTGCAAGAATTTGAATTGGATTCATTTGGATTCATCTTAAGAAATGTCTTCATTTTTTCTTAAGAAAAAAATGTTCTTAAGAAAAAAAGTAAGAATTTAAGATTGTCTTTAAATAACTTTCAAGAACATTGTTACAAACTTAATTTGTCTTAAAAAATGCCTTAAATTAAAATTTTCAGGAATTACCATTAACATCCGTACAAACTTGGCTTCTTTCCTAAGAAAAACAAAGTTTTTGTAAGAAAATATTTGTAAACCTTTTCAGTAATTGCAGTTGAGAACATTTTTAAGAACCTCTTAGAATCGTAAGAAATGTCTTAACTTCTTTCTTAAGAAGCTTCTTTCAAATAATCGATGGCACTGACTGTTATCGTTTATTACCTCACCGTTATGAGCTGGTTTTAGTTGGCTTTACCAGCAGGTGAGGGTCTTGTTTTCATGTGAAGATGACTTACACCAGACTCCTTGTGTTTTTAACACCCCTCACAGCCCAGGAAACTCAGCGACAACCTGGTCCAGAACTTCTTACTTCCCGACCAAACTCCACCGATACTGGAAGCGGAGATGGCACTACGAGCGGAGCAGCTGGTGAACGGGGAACGCGGCCGCCACACTGCGCTGACAGAGAAGAAAACATCCTCTCCCAGGAGGATCATGTCACCAGACCCAAAAAATCACAAAACTGGCTCAGAGTCCAGCACTCCAGAGGTCAGCTGGCAGGAGCAGATGCCCAGTCCCAGGACAGATACAGCCAAATCTCCAGCACCACCAATGGAAAAAGAAGTGAAGAAAGAAGAAGTAAAGGTACAACAGGAAGTTAAACCCCTGAAACAGGAAGTGAAAGAGCCGAGGCAAGAGCCTGAGGGTCAGATGACTGTAACCCCCATAAGAGAAGAGCACAAGGTGCCAGTGGTAAGTAGAACATCACAAATACACCAAACATCACTGCTAGTGCTATGGCATACAGATCTACTGTGCATGCATCTCTAGTGCCTTCACCATGTCCAAAAGTGACTGTTTTTGTCAAGTTTTGGATGAATTCTGACCACAGTCTTCTCTAGGCTTTCAAAAATGAAAGTTTTTGTAAAGATAAAAACATTTCCCGATGTTCTTAAGATTGGTGTATTGTTTTCTGGGATCTGAGGTCAACATGAAATAACATGTACGACCTAATGTGACATATTTCAGAATGAGACTGAACAGTCTGGAGTAAAAAAAAAAAAAAAATGCAAATATTATTATATTAATTAATATATTAATTAATAATAGTATTAATACTATTTTATTATTTAAGTATTATATTAATATTAATATAAAAATAAGTAATCATTTATTAAAATAATTGACTTTCACGTAACTGATCATTTCTCACAGTTAAAACTTGTATAATTATAACTTTGATCTCACAAATACAGCATTATTTCCCACAATAATGTATTTAACTTGATCTGTTTTTACAATCGCCTGTTTTATTTACTACTCAGAGATGGAAATCAGCTTAGTATTAATCAAGACAAAAAGTAAACTGGGGCTTGATTTCATCCATCAGGAAATGATTATATTATGAGATCGCTATTATTCGCTTCATTTATTATCAATATTTTGTATTATTGCTGTAGCATTTATCACATTAATGTTAACAGTCAAGACATTACTGCATTAACTATTAGCAAGGTTGTAGCAGTGTTATTTTAATATTATTTATATACTATTCTAGTATTTATACTTTTTAAAATAAATTTTAAATTGTTATTAAACATGAATACATTTAATTTAAATTAAATTTTAATATATATATATATATTTTTAATTTAAAAAATTTTGAATTAGTTAATTGAAGTTAATTTTTAAGGTTTTGACATTTTTATGTGCTTTTTAAATTAGTTTTTGTTATATATAACTATATTTAGCTTTGATTTATTTTAATTTATTAACTTTTTTTTTATTATCCAACTCTTTCTTGCAAAACATGCACATGGTTAATGAGGTACATCATATTTTGTTTTGTAAAGAAAGATATTATTTGCTTTGATTTATTTTTATTTCAGTGTTAGAAATGTTAGTACTTCAACTTGTTTGTTTCAGTTAGTTTTCCAAGGCAACATAATAATGGTATAAGTTTTTCAAGTTTTCAAGTTTCAATTACTGATTTATTTTTTTTTGGTTAACAGTAACAACACTGAATTGTAGTAAAGTTGTTTTACAGTATGTCTCTTTCTTTTTCTCTCTGCAGAGGGATGTGTGGTATGAAGCTGGCAAGGTGTGGTACGCACACAAAGACGGTTATACACTCGGTTAGTCACCTCTTATACCTGTGCTGGACTGTCCACCTGACATTTAAGAGAACAGAATCTGTTGTTAATGACACATTGTTCGGTCAGTTTTAGTAGTTGTTTTGGTTTATAAGTCATGTCTGAACACTAGACCAGCTCTCCTGTGTTGTTGAGTTGCAGGTAATTAATAGCGTGCTGTTTTAGATTATGCTATATTTACATGTGGCCTTATTATTATTTTTGGGACTATCCCAGAAGTCACTGTTTTCGTACTATGTAAAAGCAGCCCCATTGCCTTCACTGTCTGCTCCCGCTCCCGTATTTTAACTTAATATTGCTTAAAATATATCTCTTCTGGTGCAAGAGTCTACTCTTTGCATGAAAAGATGGTAAACGGGTTAACAGGCTCACAGCTTATCTTCTTGCTGATCGGATCTGTGGTGCCGTTAGCTTTACTTCAGTTTAGTGATGAATGGGTTTAGTGTTCTTAGCTTATAAGGCTCATAGCCTCGCTAAATCTGCGCGCCGAGGCTGCCATGTTATACGATTCAAAGATTATTGCATAAAACACACAGTACTGCAGTATGTTCCTGAGCCAAAATCTGTCAGGCTCTAAAAAGAACAAAAGCACCATAAAAATAGTCCATGCAAGTTGTTGCTCCAAGTCTGGTATAGCCAAACGCCACTGGTTTACACATATCACGACCCTGTACACAAAATATTAGATTTACATTGAGTATTTCAGTGACCTTTGACCTGCCTTGCCTCTGATTTGTCTTAGCCACTCAGCTGAAGCCGGACGAAGGCACACCGGAGCTCCCTGACGGCAGGGTGAGGGTTCGACTGGACTCTGATGGATCCGTTCATGATGTATCCCAGTATGAGATTGAAAAGGTGAACTATTCAGCGCTATTAATTAGGGGTGTAATGGTACACAAACATGACGGTTCAGTATGTACCTCAGTTTTGACAATGTAATGGTTCAGTATGTTTTCAGTACAGCAGGGGGAAAAAACACAAAACTGCTTTTTAAAATTGTTTTATTAAACAGTGGTTAAAGGCACAATATGTAAGTTTTCGCCACTAGAGGGCGCGTATTCAAAATAAACAAAGAAACAAAGGCGTAGTTTGATGAGGCTGTGACTGAGTGTGGAATCATGGGAGTTGTGGTCTTCATCCCCACAGCCGACGCAATCCGGCGGGACTCGGGCAGAAATCATGTTCATGGATGAGCTAATGATTTATTAACGTAGTAGAATAAAGCAGGGTGAGGTGAAACGAGGCCGCTGAACGAGCGCGACACACACGGCTCGAAAGCAGCGGAGCTTTTATTATGCCACAGTCGACCGCTTCCGCTCCTTCCGGTCGTGCGTATGTGGGGGAAAAAAGCAGCGCTGTTTTATCATACTAGATACATTTGAAAGTTCTGTTATAATGCTACTCTGTGCGGTCGTCACCGGTCTATCTCTTTCCGGCTCAGACTGCATAGGGTAAACTTATGGGCTGTCACGTGATGAACGAACGACTCGGAAAAACCCGAAGACTCGAATCAGGTGAACTACTTGACTAATTCCAGTACAGAACCTATAGGATGTTGCGCATGCGCGACTGAACGAATCACTCCCCGAGACGACTCGTTCTTCCCGAGTCACATTAAAGATTCGTTCAAAACGAACGAATCGTTCAAGAACGACCCAACACTAATTTAAACATTCTTCGAAACATTTGGGATAATGTAAGTACACAAGTCAGCAAAATATATAACACTGTTCTAGTGGTTTTTGGATATTTTAATAAAAAAATCTTACATATTGTGCCTCAAACTGAACAAATTGCTGCTTTCTTTAAATTCAACTGTAGTTACAATTTTCTTAAGGATAAAATTGACCTCGGCTAATGCAGTGAACTATATAGGAAGCCCTATTACTTGCATATTACTATAATACAATTACAGTTAACAGCAGAGGCCAAGCTATTAAACTCAATTCTCTTTATTTTTTATATTTTTATTTATTTATAAGACTTAATAATCAACACTCAAATTAAAAATTGTATGTAACCATGTAAATTGCAGATGAAGCTGTTTTTACATTAACTTCTGCATCTATTTATAATATTTCTACTCCAATTCATTGTTCAGATATAGTCTTTTACAGTGGCTGTCATAACTCGTTTAATGACAGATTTATTTAAGCATATATTAAATAATTAAAACATGACTAAGAGGTTAAGTGAAATAAAATGAATATATAGGCTAATATAGTGCATATATTTGGCGAAATGCTCTTCTCTAGACTTGAGCTTACGAGCTGTTGACACTGAATGACTTACCTGAGATAATGTAATGCTAGGTGACATATTGTTTAATTTCCGCGGTTGAAACACTGATTGAGCAATTACATGAAACTTGATACATTTCAATAAGTTGTACTGTTTCTTTCAACACGCCTTCTGATGTTCATTCATGTTTATTTTGGGCTGTAGCTAGTAGTAAAGTCGTGATCCGCGGACTTTGTTTCTTATCAAAAGTAACAATATATAAAACTATAAAACTAGTTTCAAGTTCTGCACGTGTAGTGGTTAAAACAACGCTGTATTTGAAACGAAAGACCAGAACCGAATATTTTCGATACAACTATGTGTACCGTTACACCTCTACTTCTAACTCATCATATGATGTGCGTGACCAGTGCTTATGTCTCTTGCTGGTTGTGTTGTCAGCTGAACCCACCTGAGCTGGACCTGTGTGAGGACTTGAGCGACCTCGTGAGCGTGAACGAGTCAAGCGTCCTTCACACTTTGACCAGCCGAGCTAAAGGACATCTACCCTTGACCCACGCGGGGCCCAATCTACTGGCTCTGTGGCCTCCACTGTCCCCGCCAGGCAAGGTAAGATCAGTGTATTTACAAAACCATCAGTGAGGCCTGTATGATGACACATTTAGTTTGACATTAGTTAGAGTAGTTATATGCAGCACATTAGTCGTAAATGTATTGATTAATTTAGTTTACTTATAAAAAAAAAAAGTACTATGGTATTGCTGTGTTTTTCTTGTTTTTTGTTTTTGCACTATTTAGAATTGAATTGAGAATGCCTTTTAAAATCTAATTTTTATTATTATTATTATTATTATTTATTTAATTAATTAAATTTCATTTTGTATAAAATGCCTTTAATAAATAAATGCCTTTTAAATTCAGTTCAGTTGCTGAATTTCTATCAAAGTAGCATTGTACATCAATTATAATATTATAATATTATATAGTATTAATATAACATATTGTGCATTTTTAAATAAAATATATAGGTTATATTATATTATTAATTAATTAATATCAGTTGTAGGCTATTGTTATATATACATTCATTTCTTTACATTTTAAAAAATTTATTTTATTCATTTAATTAACTTTCATTTTGTCCAACATGAAAAAATAAAATAAAAATAAAATGCCTTTAATAAATAAATGCCTTTTAAATTCAGTTCATTTGCTGAATTTCTATTGAGGTAGCATTGTACATCAAATTTAAATGTAATTAAATTAGTGCAATTAAAATAATTGCACACGTGTGTGTGTGTATTAATATTTAATAATTATTATAATTATAATTATTATTATTATTATTATATTTATTAATATCAGTGATAGGCTATATTTATTTATTTATTTAGGTATGTATGTATGTAACATAAAAAAAAAATTATTACTCAGAATGCTGTAATTTCAAGATGAAGACTTTGGTCCCACCACACAGGGGCGTAGATTACGTGGGGGACACGGGGGACACGGGGGACGTGTCCCCCCCACTTTTAATATCACGTAAATTCATCCCCCGCACTTTTTCGGGCAAGTGTGTTCGCATAGAGGTTTTCAAGACAGTATAGTCTGTGCATGATCTGATGTTTTATTCGGACCCAGAATATATATATATATATATATATATATAACATTTCTGTCCTCCTCACTTCTGAAATGATGGTTACGCCCCTGCCACCACAGAACTGTTTTGTGAGGGTGTGACATGCAGAACATGAATTAGCTTATTAAAATGTGTTTGCTTTCTGCTTCAGGGGCTTCGGAGCAGACGCTGGGAGACCTGGGAGGCTCCTGGCCCACTGCAGGCTCTGGTGAGGAGGGTGTATGTATCAATGGTGGGTCAGCGGAAGGACCAGACGCTGGTGGCTTTGGGACGCAGTGGCACAGGGAAGACCACTTCCTGTCAGTCATTTTCCCAGGAGCTGCTCAAACAAGCGGGAACAGCAGGAGGAAGCGTTACCTGTGAGTGCATCCAATTTTTCTGTTGATACGCCAAAGCTACAGAACAACAGAAGACAAAATATAAAAAATTACCAATAGAAATTAGTCGAATAAGTGCTTGAATAATTTGCACGCTGGATGGATTCTGTTTCTCAAGAGCCTCTGGTGGTTACAGGATCCTATCCTATAATTACAACAGCGTCTTCCTCTCACAGTGTGGCATGTTTCGTTCCACTGAATATCAGCGTTTGTGTGTGTGTGAATCTGCTTCTACTGACATGAAGTGACAGGTGAAACGCTATAGCAACAGTTTAGAGGCTGTTTAGGGGTGTTTGTCTGTTGTCACAGGTTGTGAGACATGATTTGTGTGTGTAACTGCAGTAGAGCGGCTCCAGGCAGTGTTTACAGTGCTGCGCTCGTTTGGGTGTGTGGGCTCGTCTCACAGCGAGGCCTCGAGTCGATTCGCTATGGTGCTCTCACTGGACTTCAACCACGCCGGACTCGCTGCTGCTGCACATCTGCAGGTTCTCTGATCTGTCTGTCCATCTGTTTATCTGTCTGTCTGTCTGTCTATCTGCCCATACATCTGTCTTTATCTGTCTATCTGTCTGTCTGTCTGTCTGTCTGTCTGTCTATCTATCTATCTATCTACAGGGGCGCCACTAGCAATTTTGGGCCCTATGAAAGAATATGTGGTAGGGCTCCCTACCGCACCAAACATACACTATATTGCCCAAAGTATTGGGACAAAGCAGCATTTCCAGCAGTATCCAACATTTCTCAATCATGATCTTACTCAGCTAAATGTGACTATTAGCTTAACAGCTGTATTCCTCGTTTGCTAGCTACCTATGCACATACAGCATACAATGTTAAAAATTTTCTACATTATGAACCATAACCCAAAAAACCGTTAGCTTCATAAACTGTAAATAATTGTGACCCTGCCTGTGGAAACCCAGCTAAAGTATTTTTTTTTTAAGCAGTGGATGAGTAATTCACTCCTTGATTTGCTTAATAAAAGCCTCCTTTGATATCGTTTTGACAGACATGTTTATTGTGTATTATTTGTGTTCGTATTCATGTTTATTGCTAAGTTTAGTGTGGCAAAGTAGAAGCGCAGCCGTAATTAGCGTGCAGTGTATCTGGTTGCCATGACAACCTCACGCGCTTTCTGCTGCTGCTCTATGTAATCAGAGTGTGAATTTGTAGATTTTCTATAGCAAAACTAAAATGTGTTTAAAAGTGCGACTGACCAAATCGTACGGCTCGGTTTGCACCCCTTCGAACTCGAAGACAGTTTACCATCTGTTCTCACTCAGTGACTCTAGGCTAGTACTAGGACGGGACGAAATGGGGGGAGATAATTTTGCCGGAAATGCAGAAATAAGCCGTAA